GTCCCCTGAAACAGGATGCAGAAAGAAAAAGTTAGATCAAGCCTAGTTGCCGTGCTGAAAATCATTTCTGTCTGAGCCATGGGGGCAGACACATCATATCCTGAGCCTTTTTTCCCATCTGTGAAGCCTCCTGGGTTTTTTCCTGTTTCACAAATGATGCTTCAGATTGATTGCACTGTTCTATATTACAGAAAATATCTGATTAAATGAGGGACAATGAGACTTGTGGTATTTGAAATGTAGCAGTTGACATTCACACAGCACAATTAAGTTGTAGAAAAAAAAAAGAGTTTCTGCCTTTAAATCTACCTACATTCAAAATATACTGGCATGTCTAGTGCTTCATTCTTCAGCCAGTAAAAAGCATCTGGGACTTGACTTGGCACTTTGGTTCACAGGGCATTCTGGTTTGCCCTGATGTTTGTACCACATATCACTGCTGTGTGTGCAGTTACCTTTTACTATATGTATATAGACAAAAGGTGCAAAATTAGTGCAGATGTAATGAGAATGCTCTTGATTTTGAAAATCAGAGTAATAACTACTTGTTAAGAAAGAAACCAATTTTGAACGCTGTGCTTAACACAAGTGAAAGTAAGTTTTTAATCATCTCATTGTTCTGAGTCTATTTTTGGCTAGTAAATGCTGTGCATTTATAGTAAAATGAATTAGACAAAAGTTACTACATAGTTTCCAAATCAGTAAGTGCCACTTAAGAAGACAGATCCAATCTTCCAAAATTTTTTTTTTTGGAAGAAATAGATATTGCATCAAAAAAAAAACAAAACAAAACAAAAACGAAAAAGTTGACATGGTATTATTTATTGTGACAGAAACTGACATATGAATTTGTGGGTTTTGTATGAACCTACATTCATTCTAGCACAAATCTTTTCCACTTAGTTATAGAAATGGCCAGTCAAAAGCCAGAATATCTAATCCACATAAATTCCAATATTCTTATATGTTTTTTTTCCTTTTGAATCTCTTTAAAGCACTTTCTGAAGTCACTTTTCAACATAATCCTTAAAAATATTTCTATCAGAATTTGCGTCTGGATAGTCAAAACATTTCATCTTCTTGTTTTCACTGTATTTTGTTTAACTGTTTTTCTGGATTTAATTTTTATGTTTTGAATTATTTCTTACTCTTTGGATATTACAGTAACATTAAATGATGATTGGTATTACAGATGGTGTTTTAGCAATTGAAATGATAATTGTTTTTTGGCTTGCTCAAAGGCAACTGGTATTCTAATTGATAATTTGTATTATATTTGATATGTTAGATTATATTTTTCAAAGTGTCAAGTAATTACAAAATAAAAATCCAGGATACTCCAGTCCAAATAATGACAGATTTATTTTTCTAGACAAAATTTTTGACAGCAACTCTTGACTTTACGACACTTTCTTTTCCCCTAATAAATTGACTTTTTTTTTTTTTTTAACTAAGAAACATTCTACAGAAAATGTTTCATCAGCTTCATTTTTTTATTTCTATTGTATCTATTAGATTTCAGGACAAAATATTTTCTCACTTTTGTTTTCATAATGGAGCAAACAAAGAAACTTTTTAAATTATTTTTTTTTAAATTAGTCATCAGAATGTGGTTCTAATACTATCAAAAGTCCAGTTGTAGCAATAAAGTAAATCAAAGTAGATAGATACTAAAGAAACAAAAAGAGAAAAGTAATAAACACAACAACAGAAATGCAGGCAGCCCCAGTAAGAATTCAGTCAGGTGGGATGGTGACAGATAATACTGCTTGTAGCTTGTGGGTGAACTGAAAGGTATGTTTTACACACAATTTTTAGGCATTTATCCCAATAGCCTAGAAAATATAGCAGCATATATGCACTATACTGTGTGTTTTCTTTTTGTAGAGAGAAACTAAATAATGAGTTGCTCTACAGAAATAAAAATACAAGTTTTATAATCAGATTAGGTATCTTGGGGAAAAACCTTCCATTTATTCACCTGGGCTGGCTCATACAATTTGTGTAGGCAGCACCTTGCATTTGGCAAGATGGTCCTGTAACATGTCGATGACAATCACTGATAAGTCAACAACAGCCAAACCCAGCTTTATATTCACTTAATTAAGCTTTTCTCTTCACTCATGCCTGAGGAAGATAAGTCATTTTTCAGACTGTTTTATAGACCATTCAAGTAGGATTATTATGACTCTTTCCAAGATATTATCATGGCTTCAGGTTATCTTGCATCTCTATGAGCACTATGGGAGTTTTTCAGTCATCCTAAATAATCATCGCAGCAACCCTTTGGTGGTGGGCCTAAGGTAAGTATGATCCTTTTATTCATTAGGACTTTATCAGATTTAAATTAACACTGGCTCTGGATGCAGTTATGCCACAGGTAACGTAGCCACTTCTGTAGGGCAGAATAAGCTATTCTGGCCTAACGAGCATTTGCAAGTGTGCACACATGTCCCCCTGGAGTCTATGGGTCCTTAACTGTTCATTTCTAGATCAGTGCAGATAAAGCTGCATAAACCCAGTGTGTACACTGGATCCTGGTTCTAGTTCAGACATGCCTGTGATCATAGTTCACAACGCAGATCCTACCACCAGTGACTGGCAGGCACAGGATGATGATCCATCGCAGGAGGGTAATTGGAAAAAAAAATGTAGTGACAAGTAACACGCCTTTGTGAAGATTTGTTTTGCTGATACAAAATGGCTTACAGAAGTGATCAACATGAGACCTAGAAAGCAACTGAAGTGGAAAAAGATGCAATATACAAATGAATGAAACAATGAAGTATTGTTTCCTGCAGACTTTGCTTGACATAGGGACCTCAAGCAAGTGGGTGAGGAGGGAGATCCCTGTTTCACTGGAACATTGCCTGAAGTGCTGGCAGATGTGACAGGGAGGCAGAGTCCACTTACAAGTATCTTGAGGCAATTGAAATTACAAGGGAAAAAACAAAACTTGATACTTCTTTGTGCAGCTGTGCAAATCCTTGTTAAAGGCATAGCCTGAACATCATGGGCATTTCTGGGGTTACTTCTTGAGACATTCTTAACGTACATTTCAGGTCTTCATTTCTTGAAAAAACGAAGGAACAGAGAAGGAGTGACCAGGGATGACCGGAAATATGCAATAGCTTATTGGTGAAGACCAACAGCGTAAACCAGCTCTCTTAAACTTGGGAGAGAGGGGATAGGATAGAGCTCTGTGGTATCGTGAGTGGAACAGAGAGGCAAAAGGAAGTAGTTGTTCATCATCTCTTTAAATACAAGACTTTGGGGATGATATGGTTTAGGCAAAGAAAAAGAGCTTTTCCTTCACAGCCTGTATATTTAAGCTCTGTCATTTCTTTCCATGGAAAATTAAAAATGCTAAAAAAATATGTAAATTCAGAAACCAGCTGGACAAAATTTTTGATAGAAAATAAGGGGGGGAAGTAGTATTTTTGGAATAGTTTCTGAAACTACTGTGGGTCTTGAAAATCCTGTCACCTCTCCAATATTTGGGAGGGAGTGGCAGGGAAGAGCATGCAGAGCTCAGAGAACTGAACACATGTAATGTGTCAAGGTGCACAGGTTAATCTTTCTGTCCAGCCAGTCGTTTCAGGAAAGTTCTATAACTAGTACATTTCTGTTGCTTATTTGAATGTTTGCATTTGTGGGGATCTTTTTTTGCATCTGATGTGTAGTCAAAACTGTTTCAATGTTTTCAAAGATATACTTGAAGCATAATCTGGGCTTAGATACGATTTCACAAATCACTTGTTTCCAATGGCAAGGGACTTGATACTGTGTTAGAGAGGTGATATTTAAATTTCTGAAAAATGATTTAATCTAAAGTGGGAATCCTAACGCAGTTGTAACATTTTCCCCCAAAGTGTGGAGACAAAGCCATGTTTTTCTGGATGTATTTGTTATCTAAGTAAAGCGGGGGGTTGGGGGGCGGAGGGAGGGAACTGCCTTTAGACTGTACTTTCAGGCATGTGTACAGAGGGCAGCAGATTTCTACCTAGGATTCAGAGCGAGCCCATCATGGCATCAAGCATAACTATCTCTGCTGAGTCTCAGATGAAACTAGGTTTGCATGAGAAAACTTTTATGTTGCTTGCTCTTTTTGAGCTCCCCCTTTCCAAGGCTAGCTTCAAAAAGAAAAAGCTGAATCTGTCTGCAGAGCATCATTGACTTTAATGGGAAATGTGGCAGTTTACACAAGGTGAGGGAAGGATGCTTAACTTCTTAAGGTGGACAAATTAGGTCACTTGCTTCTTTCCTGGGTGTAAAGATTGAAAGGAACTAAATATGTAATATGCCTGTTTATGTACCATACCTTAAAACCTCATTTTCCACTTCCTGACCATGCTTCCGAAGTGCTTCTTTATGACCTTGCTTATCTGTGCCTTGATGACTACAAGCTTTCCAGAGCTACTTTACTTGTCATGGACCTACATGACACTGCAGCTGAGATTTTCTTCCTCACTTCTTGTTCTGTGCTCCCTTGCACTTCCTCTGATCTGAAAAAGGCTTTGAAGAAGGGTCTGTCTCAATCTTCTCCTAAGGCCTCTACACAGGGCTGAAATAGAATAAAAGAACCACATAGAAGTGAGAAATAGGTGGAGTCATTTGTCTACAACATGAGCACTGACACTCTGATGATATGAAATCGAAATGACTTAACTGCATCTGCCAGCAGCAGTTTATTATCCTAGAGAAGGTCTACAAAGCAGGTCAGGGCACTTGAGGCTAATTAAGCACTATTAGCTAATGAATTGTTTATACAGTGTAACTCTGTATTGCATTATTATTGCTTATTCATGTTCATATTATCTCTGGATAGACAGACACACCAGGAGGGAATCTACAACAGGAAGTAGGTTACCAAAGTCATACAGGGTGGAACAGAATGGAGCCGACTCAAACCTAACAGTCACTATAGGTGGGTGTCTCCCTAAGAGGAGAGGTGTCTCAGTCCCAGCACAGTATAGTTTAGATACAGTGCCTTGCCGACCATGGTTCTGATGTTTAAGCCATCTCCACCAGTACCAGAGCCACTGCGCTATGCCCAGATGAATAGCACAGGTATGCTGGATGAGGTCCACTGAGTGCAGGTGTTGCTCCATGCAGAGCTGTGTGGTGCACAACACCTACTAGCCATGGATCAGACAAGACCAAAGCAGGTGCCCTTGCGTGCAGTCAAACTGTAGTGTTGTCTACTTTTAGTAATTTCTCCCTCCTTTTTCTTCTTTATGTTTGATTTTCATGCTTTTTGACTTGGCAGTACATTAATACTTCACTTTTAATGTTCTCTTATGCAGGTTTGATGTGGATCATTATAAACTCTTCAGTGTCATAAGTATACTACCACTTCATAAGAGGCAAAATATGTTCAATGGAAAATAAATGCTGCTTTGGAAAATTTATAGTAAAAAGACAAAGCTGGGAGCAATAAAAGTTAGCCAGAAGCAGGATAGAGTCTGCTCTTCCGTGCTGGCAAACTGCACAGCAGAGATGTGTTGGTAGGAAAGGAGAGAAGGTGTTTCTCTTACATGAACCTGCAAGCTCAAACAGAAGCATCAGTGGGAGAGCCAAAGAGCACCAAGAAGAGCAGCTCCTCATGGAAACAAGAAGCTTGTATGAGAAAAAAAAAAGATAGAAACATAAGTAAGGAAGAGAAAGCCATAGGAAGATTTGAAAATACAAAGGATTTTTGCATGCAAGAAAGGAAAAGAGCTGAGTGATACATGTAATACTTGAAGGCTTGTAATACTTGTCCAGCTTCAAAACACTAAACTTCTACTTCCCACTCTTCAATACTCAGTTTGCAGCCAGCCAAGTGCAGGTGGCTGAGCCCTGACTACAAGGCATTCCTCCAAAGTGAACAGTCAGCCGTGGCTACTGGCCAGCATTAAGTCTTTCACTTGAATTTGCATTGCAGCCCTGGGTCAAAATGGTGCTCATGAGATGTTGTATTTTACTCTAGAATCTGTTAATGCCAATAGTTCACCAGGTTTTCACCTCCCGTGAGCTACATGTGCTATTCCCAATAGCTTTTCTACTTCTGATTCCCCCCCGCCTTTGTCTCTGCTTTTCTGCATGTTATCTGGGGATGTATTTTCAACTGCCAGTATTTCTTTTAAGAGGACTTTCGCCCACATGGAAACAAGGTATTACTGCAGCTTAGTGCAATATTACTGTCTTACATTTTTGCAGACTTTTACTTTAAGAATAGAAATGTTCAAAGAAAAGCAAGATCTAGTCTCTCTCTGGAAAAATCTGCACTGGTAGTTAAATAAGGATACTTGCATCTTTGTCTTGTACCTGGTTATCATGAAAATAATGGAAATTCACTCTCCTAGTCAAGAGGATATCTTCTGAGAAGGAAAGAACTGCAGTGGCAAAGAGAGTAGGACGAAGAACCCCCAATTATGTTAAATATATTGGTGACATACCTTTGGTGTAAACTATAGTAGTTTTTGAGAACTTCTAAGTTTTAAGTATGTCCAAAAGATAATATGTAAAAATTCCAATAATGCTGGCACATTCTTTCTCATGTAGCTTGGTGTTATAATTTTATAGTACCTCTCTTTACTGGAAGAAACAAAAGGTTGCATGTAAACAGAGTCAAGCTGTTGACTGCACATAATTTTTTACATGATCCATCTGCAAATTTTGCAGTTCTTAATGATCTGGCTGCAGTATCCTTTATTTTGATGTCTGAAAAAAAAGTGCTGCAGAAACTGTTTAGGAAGCCGAGTCACAGCTGCATTAGAGTTTATAGACTGTTTTCAGAACATGAAGAAGCAATTGAACCTCAGAGAAATGTAGCAGTCAGTTTATGTTTGGAACCAGTTCCTAAAATATATCACTCATTTCATGACCAAATGAAAACACAGCCTTACTGAGATGAAGCTAATAAGTGTGTGCCCATGCCAGATTCATGTTTAGCATTGGCAGAGTAACTTAGTGACTCCATTGTAGGCTTCCAAGGGATGATTGTTTTAAATTATATGACAACCAGTATGATAAGAGGAAATAGTTGCAGTTGATTTTTTAATACGTTGGGGATAATTGAACAATATTTTGAGCATCACGAGTTTTAGTGACTGCACAAGAAATAAAGAGCTCATTTTACAGCTGGGGCTTAGCTTCTTGCTGTTTGAAGCCCCTTATGGCTAAGCTATATGGCTAACATGATCAAAGAAATGTGTTGTTGGCTAACATGGACAAAGAAAATGTTGTCCAGGCATGCCCACTGTCATTCTGCTCACATGGATTACTATGCTGCCTTTCCCAAGATGGGGAGAAAAAATGGGATTTGCTGGCCGTGCTGAAAGAGATGTGATTTCAAGAGTTTTTGGAAACCAATGACAGTCACATTAGCTCTGTAACCAGGAAGTATCTGAGTAGTTGCTGCAGGAGAGTCCTTGTCCTTTCACAATTCTTGCAGGAGATCAGCTCTGCTGAAGCACAGCAAAGTCAGGTAGCAAGTGTGCAGCTTCAGTTCTGAATGAACAAAGCCATCTTAATGAAGACCAATTTGCACAGCTTTTCCTCACGTGTGCAGCCCCACTGTGTTCACAATTTTCCTACAGAAGTGGCAGGGCTCTTTCCCCTTGGATTTTTTTTT